TTACCTCCAGCCTTACCACCCTGCACCTTTAAGCAACTTGAAGCAGAGATCTGACATCTGATAGTTACCTATCCCCGTATTTGCATACCTGGGCCGGCTTCGAAGCTGCCACTGCTGGTGCTACTGGTACTGCCACCACCACTCACCAGAGTGGGAGCCAGAGCCACACCTGGAGTAGGAGTAGATTGAGCAGGAGGGGTCTGTGCTGGCTCTTCAGGTTCTTTCTCTGGTGCTGGGGCTGATGCCGGTGGTGGAGCAGGAGGTGCAGGGAGTTCTTTGGGGACTGCAGGTGGTGGAGCTGGGGTAGAAGGGGCAGCGGGTGGTGGAGCAGGCTCTGCTTTGAGCCGCTTGTCAGGTGCCCCAAACTTTTCATCAAGCCGCTTGAGCTTCTCAGCACAGGCTGCCCGGCGCTCTTCCTGCATGCGCCGCTCCTCCTCTTCTCGCCGTCGCCGGGCGCGCTCCACTGCCAGGGAAATCTCAGATGATGACTGCTTTCGTCGCTGCCGCCATGCTTCATCCTCATCTTCAGGTGCTGGGGGCTTGCAGGGAGGGCCCCCACGATCCTGTCAATTGGCAAGACCCAGCAGGGCCAGGAGTATCAGTTACTATGCTTTCTACTATCTCTTTCACAGACCAATCAATTGTCGCTACTTGCAAGATGCAAGGACCCAGGCCTTGGGGTTGATCTCTCTGGGTGATGACAAATTCATTACCCTTGTCCTGTTTGAGACCAGGTCTTGCTATGTTGCCCAGGCTGGTCTTGAACTCCTGGGCTCAAGTGATCCTTCTGCTTCAGCCTGCTCATTGCTTCAACTACAGATACACACTACCAGATCCAACCGTCTAGCCACCCGTCTCTTTTTCTGTTCCCTCTCTCCTTCAGAAACACACACACCCAGGCCTTCTTGTTCTTCTTTCCTTACTGGCACCCCAGTTTCTCACTTCTTACCCAGATTCCCGTATCACCAATGATATTTCCAAGCTTTCCAGAGGTATTCTGCAGCCTGGCACTTCACACAGCACATTTTAAGCACCCCTTTCTCGTCTGTTACAACTGCTTCAATTACTCAGCTGACATTAATCTCCCACAGCTGACCCTCTCAATCCCTTATTGTAGACACTCACTGGGTAGTCCCCAGGGGGACCCCAGTTCCCGGTGGGGCCCCGGTGAGGTGGGGGTGGGGGAGGCTTTGGGGCAGGAGGTCCTGGTTCTGTCTCTGGAGGCCGAGAGGTTTCTGCCCAGGCCGTCTTAGGAGGGGGCGGTTCACTGCCAGGAGAGTTGCCCTTTTTGCCATCTGCTTCAGGGGGCCGTTCCTCACCAGAAGCTGACTGGGAATCCTTGCTGTGAGCAGATCAACAGTGGAATTAGAACCAGCTGCAACTAATACACTCCTCTAAGAGTACATTATCGAAAGACAAACCAAGATCCCTCCTCCTCTCCCCTGATGGCCCTAACTCACTGGCCCTCAGCTCCCTCCTCATCAGAGTCTCGCCCATCTTCCTCATCGCTGAACTTGAGTTTTTCAGTGTAGTCAACCTCTTCATGGGCCCCTGAGGAAAAATATGAATATTAGTAAAGCAAGCATTCTGCTCTCCAATCTCAGGAGGTAGCCTGCAACTATGTAACAAGATGTACTACCAATGCCAACACCCTCCCTCTGAAGTCTAGATCCACCAATGTCTTGTCTTTCTTATTTCTCTCACCACTTTGCCAGGACTTGGTATTCCCCCTCCGTGTACCTCCCCTACCCTTCTATTTTTTTTCTTTTAAGAGATTAAAGTCTTGCTCTGTTGCCCAGGATGGATTGCAGTGGGATAATCATAGCTCCTCTGACCTCCAACTCCTGGGCTCAAGCAATCCCACCTCAGACTCCAGAGCAGCTGGGACCACAAATGCATGCTCCACACCTAACTAATTTTTAAAACTTATGTAGAGGTGGGGATCTTGCTGTGTTGCCCAGGCTGGTCCTGAACTCCTGGCTTCAAAGCAATCCCTCTCACCTCACACCCCAAAAGCACTGGGATTACAGATGTGAGCCACTGGGCCCGGCCTTCCCTACCCTTCAATGTCTGCCTTTCACCCACATAACCCTCTTATATTTTCATCAGGTTTTGCCTTTCAAGATCCAAGTTCTTGACCCTTAATATCCATTTACCTGCCCAACCATCATCATTCTCCTGATCCAATTGATCAAACTCTTTGAGATTATCCTCTTTGAGAATAGAGGGACGACCCACAGGCTCTACTAGGCGCATTGGTGGCCCTGAGCCTCGGGGGCCTGCCACACGGGGAAAACGGCTGTGTACAGAAAAGAAAATGAAAGATGGCAAGTTGTATAACCACATGCGAGAGTGATCCTAGACTGAGGCTCCTGGCTAGAAAACCATCTCCTCCCCCAATAAGCTTCCCCTGCCCATAACCACAAACCCAGACCTGGATTGCTCACCTGGGCCCATCAGGAGTGGGGTATCGGTAAGGCCCCTGGGGTCCATAGGGCGGAGGGAACGGGAGATATGGGGGATACATCTGTAAAAGGATCCAACAATAGCTGCTCAGAGGGACAGTCACATACCCTTCCAGCTCCTTAATCCTGCTATCAATCATCCTCCCACCCTCCCTTCTATCTCATAGGCCAAAGACTAAGTCTTGATTCCTAGGTCTCCAGCCTCCAGTGTAATCGCTACAAGACACCAAGACTCACGAAAGGCGGCATCATTCCGCGGTAGGGAGGGAACTGGGGTGGGCCTGAAGGCTGCAGCGCCCCCCGGGGATCATGACCATGATGAAGTTTGGAGTCCGGGCCCTCCAGCTCATCAGGGCCACGCCCACCTCCGTCCCTCCAAGTTGTAGAATCTGTATTTTGGAAAAGGTAGAGAGAGGTATCAATGATTAGGAGGGCAAGTGAACGTAGGTGAAAGTGATGGGGAGGAAAGTGAGTTAAGTCAGCACTTAGCTGAGATGGAACAGGTAATGTCTTGGCCAAAAGGCAGCCACTCACTTTGGGGGCGGAGGCTTGGTCCGGGCCCAGACGACTGTTCGGCAGACTCCCTTTCCTTGGCAGCCTTGTCCTGGTCGCCAGCCGCCTGCAGGGTCGGAAATTCCTCTCGAGAGAATCGCGACAGTAGGCTTGATGCCCTTCCACCTATTAAGATGGGGATGCAGAATGGGAAACAGAAGTACATTTACCAAGGACATGCTTAAGAGTGGAAGGCTCTGACAGGTATCAGATCATCAGGTTTCCTGCGTTCAAACTTACGCCCCTACAGAGTAACTGCTTATTCGCAAAGAAAGTCAGTTCTGGGACCACTACACTCTATCACGTAAGAGTGAGACTTGGCTGGGCACAGTGGCTCACGCCTGTAATCCCAGCACTAAAAATACAAAAATCAGTCTGGCGTGGTGGCGTGTGCCTGTAATCCTAGCTACTTGGGAGGCTGAGGCAGGAGAATCGCTCGAACCTTGGAGGCGGAGGGTGCAGTGAGCCAAGACTGTGCCACTGCACTCCAGCGAAACTCCATCTCAAAAAAAAAAAAAAAAAAAAAGTGAGACAGTGAGACTTAAATTGCTCATGTGCCTTCAGGAAACTGAATATAGGTTATCTTAGATTTAGTCAAAGAGGACCAAGGTCACTTTGCTGAAAATACAGTGCAGGGGTCATGCATCCCATGGTGCCCAGACACAGCTCCCCAAACAGTGCTGCACTCACCATCTCCATGTGCTCCATGGGTGATGCTGGCTTGTGCCCAGGACTTTACCCCGCTTGGAACCGAAGGAGTGTTCTGGGGAAGTGTTCAAAGAGATGATAAATGATGATGTGGGTGGGGCATCTATGAGCCATTCTTCCCCCAACCCCTCCAGTTCTCCAGGTACCTCGGGGGCTGCTGGGGGTCGTTTCGGCTGGCTGGAGGCAGGCGTCTGTGAAGCCGGCAGTGGCTGCGATTCCGGCGGCTGAGCGGTTGAGGCATCGGAACTGAGGGGATAAAATGGGAAGGTTATTCAGGTCAACGATGCCTCCCCGACTTCTCCCAGCTGGTGGAGACTTAGGACTGAAACTCTGCCCATTGCTGCCATTTACAAATTAAGGACAAAATAATTTTGTCATCCTTTGTAGGCTGTCATCTGTTTCTTCATGCTTTCTCTCCAAGACAAAAAGCTAAAGGCATCATTCATTAGTTACCTAACAAGAAACCTACTACAGATAAGAAAGGAACCTCCTCCTTTGTCTCTGGTTCTTGTGTGGCTGGGATAAACCAAGCCCCAGCTCTCCCTGAAGTTCAAGTTAGAATACTCATGACTCTAGGTCCCCCAAGCCTCTGCTTACCTCTTGGGGTCGGACTGCTCCTGTTTGCTTGCCCATCCTGTTCCGTCTTTTGGCACTAGTGAGACATTGGGGTCATTGCCTTTGTTCTCGGCTTTCAGGCTTGGAAGGTTGGCTGGAGGTGGCATACGCCGGGCAATGGCAACTTTCCCAAGACTCTGCAGGCCATGGCGAGGGGCAACTAGAGAAAAAGATGGAGAGACGGTCAAAAATGCCTTGTATGGGAAATCTGATGGCCTCCCACTGTGGGCCACATTTATACATCTTGAATATTTTATTACCCACTTCCTCCAAACTTCTCTTAGAAAGGATCCCTTCTGCTGCCCTTAATAATCTCTGAAATCGGTCCAAGTGAGGTGGCTCACGCCTGTAATCCCAGCACATTGGGAGGCCAAAATGAGAGTTTCGAGACCAGCCTGACCAACACGGTGAAACCGTCTCTACTAAAATACAAAATTAGCCAGGCGCCAGGCATCAGGCATGGTGGTGCATGCCTGTAATCCCAGCCACTCAGGAGGCTGAGGCAGGAGAATCGCTTGAACCCAGGAGGCAGAGGTTGCAGTGAGTCAAGATTGGGCCACTGCACTCCAGCCTGGGCAACAAGAGTGAAACTCTGTCTCAAAAATAAAAAAAATCTCTGAAATCCCTATCAAGAATGATGAGATATGTAACATTCAATGTTTCTGTGGCATCGGTTGATCATGAGGCTCCAAGCGGCAAGCTGGCCTCAGACTTTCCCAAGTCCACATTTCTTTGCCTCCAATTCTTACGTGTCCAAAGACAGGCAACCACAGACACACCTTTGTAGGAGGGTAACTTGATGTTCACCCAGAGCCCACGCCCCCTTGAAAGGACCCTCTAGTCTTTTGGTATCTGTACTACAACCTCTTCTCTTCAAAGAGCTCCAAAACATATGGCCCATTCATGCCTAGTTTCCAACCATCAGAAGTATCCTTTGCAGGACCCTCACCAGCGGGTTTCTGGATCTCTAAGGACTTGCCCTTATACGTATCAAACAGGTTGAGCGAGGAATACTTCTTTCCATCCTTTCCCTTGGCAGTCGGCCCCGAGCGATCGGACATTGCGCTGGAAGCTCATTGAGTATGTTGGGTCCTGCAGGCACCTCCCCCAAAACGTGCCGGAGCCTGTGGGCCAGACAGCAAGTGTCTCAGTCTCTGTCCCCTGTACAGACCATAACAGAAGTTTAAAAAATTCTCTTGTATTCTCATTAGGGATTCAGATATGAGGCCCTCTGGTGTCTTTTCTCCAGTCTATGTAAGCTGCCCACTCTGAGAGACCACGATCGACTTAGCTCCCACACAGCCCAAATGCCATGCTCCCTCCTTTCCCCCAGACACCTTTGCTAAGGAAATCGAAGTAAAAATCCAGTATTCTCCTAGTATAAAAACTCTGTGCCCTCTGTGCCACTCTACAAAGGATAACAGCCTTTTCATTCCTTACAAGTAATAGTCTCTTCTCTTCACCAAAATCATTTCAGAGACTTACAACAGGGCAAACAAATTCAAGCAAGAGAAAACTAAAAAAGCAGTATGCAATTCCACCATAGAAGAACTGAAACAGCACTTTAGATTCCCTATTTATTAGAGACCAACTACCTAATCATACCCCAGGACCCTGTACCCCAGGTTCCCTGCCCAGCAGCCTCGTGTGCATCTGGGAAGGTTTGCAAGAAGGTATGCTGGGAGTTAAAGGATTTTATGAGCTTGCTCAGCCGGAATGGGGGTTGGTACCAGAGAAATCCTCATAGAACTGGGGCTCTACAAATTCCCAGACTATAGGAACCCCAAGTATTTGAAATATCCCATCTTTTCCTAAACTTGCTCCTATATTGGTTACTGGAAAAAATCGCTTCCAGGTGAAACACTGTTTTACCATGTGAAGAACTGAGAAAAACAAAGCTTTATGGAGCCACCTTGAGAGCACTATGGGCCAGAAACAGAAGGCCAAGGCCAAAGCCATCTTCGTTTTCCTATCCTCATTAAAAATGTCTATCACCAGTGTTTCTCTCCTTGATACTTCTAGCTCCCTAAGCAAGCCGGACATGTCTCTCAGTCCATTCCAGAGTGACCAGGCATTCGTTTACGGACAGGAACAGTGTAAGGAGACGAGAAATGGTGGGGGGGAAAAAGCAAGGAAATCCAGACAAGCCCAGAATGAAAGCCAAAATTGGGGAGAGTGAACTTTATGACAAGCCAGAGATAAGATGAATGTAGCTTCGAAGGTATTTAAGGAGACCAATCTGTGAAAATAAATATATGAAGGGAAAAGAAAGAAAAGGATCATGTAGTGATCAGACCAAAACTAACAAAAAAGAATGAATACGAAAGCAGGTGGAAAATACATGGAAGCAGAATGGCAAAGAAAGGATGTAGAGAACGAAGTTAGAGGGCAAAGACCCAAAAAGAAAAAAGGGGATGGGGTATAAAGGAGACGAGGAATAGAAAAAAATGAAAAAGCAGACACAGCGCGACTGAGCAACATAGAAAGCAAAGATGCGGGTTAAAAGCAGGGTTCTAGAGTGGGAGTGGCTCGACATGAAGAGGGGCGTCCGGGGGGGGGCCACAGCGCTAAGTGATAGGAGGGGGGTCCAACATGGAGGAAAAGAGCCCTTCGGAGAGGAGAAGCTTCGGGCGCGGCCCACCCCAGGACGGCAGCGGGGGAGGGGGCCCATAGATGGGGGTGAGAAGCCAGGAGCGCAGCAGAAGGTGGGGAGTTACGGCCCAGGCGCAAGGGTCATCCCCTGAAGCCAAGACAGTGGGTGGGTAGGGGCAGACTGTGGATCCTGAATGAGCGGCCAGAGGTGCGGGTCCCGGAGTAGAGGTACCAGAGGGGGAGGGGCGGGCAGGCCCGGCAGCGGAGGACAAAATGGCGGCGGCTAATGGCAGCTTCTCCTCCCCCCGGGCCCGCCACCGCCGCCGTCACCGCCGCCGCCGCCGCCTCCGCCACAACCGCACCCGCGCCGGAAAAGAGCGTCAGCGCACGGTTCACCCAGACTCACCTGGCCGGGTGTGCGGGGATCCGGGACCGGGACCTAGGGGTTCCCCGGGACGGGATGGCGGTGGGGCGGGGGAGGATGGCGGCGGATGGCGCCGGGTTCGGCTCCTCCCGTCTCCCTAGCTCACTCCGCGGCTGAGCTCCGACTAACGGCCCATCCGGGCAACCGCCGCCCCCGGGAGCACCCCCCCACCTCCCACCTCCCTTCGCGCCTAGACACGCCCCTTTATTTGCATAAAGGGCGGAGCGCTTCCTACCCTGACCCTCTTTACTGCCAGGGCTGTCCTTAGTTTAAAAAAAATAAAAGGGCCAGGAGCGCGGAACAGGCGGAGGTTATTTGCATAAAGAGGAGGGACTTACGAGCACTAGGATGCCGATTGGCTGAGGAGGCGGGCCTCCTGGGGTCGGCTGTAGGGACTTGTTGAGGGGTAGGGAATGCGGCGCAGGTCGTCTGGGCGGTTGGGACGCAGAATTTACTCGACGAATGTGGGAGAAAGAGGCGGAGCGTGCGTCGTACGTTCGAGGAAAGATGGGAGCGGAGAGACGTAGGGACGCCAAAAGTGGAAGGAAACGTTTCACGGCCCATGGCGCCTTCAGCTGAGGAGACGGAGAGAGAGGACAGGGGCTGGCGGGGCGGAATTAGCAGCCAGAGGGCGGAGCTTGCGCAGACCTGGTAAGAGTTCCAGCTCTCGCGTCCCTCCACGGGTTTGGGGTGGTTGTTGGGGGGAAGTTGGGGCGAAGTTGGGGCGGGGGCGGGGCCTTCCAGTTATTAAATCACGTCATGCAAATGAGGTGGTTAGACAGACCAATCCAAAAGTCCCGGGAAACCTATCGCCTGCACCAAGCAGTGAAGGCTTCCTTACGGCAGTTCTATATATTCGCATAATGTATGCAAATCATTTGAACAAAGATAGACTGGGAATACCTTGATCATTAAAATATCGGCAACCATCGACTAAGACGGACGTTTAATTTTATAACCTATATCTTTGTGAATAAATTTTCATATTTGATATTGGGAGTTTGTAATTTCTTAACAATGGGTTTCATTTTGCAAAATGAAAGTAGTTTACCTCCTTTGTCTCTTACTATCCGATTCTAGAGCTCTCTGCTCCCATCTGACTTACTATCATTCAACGACTATGATTTGAAGGCGCTGGAGATATGCACAGGATATTTTAGAAGTAGAGAAGTGAAATATGACTATACCTGGGGTGGTTGAGAAATGCTTCTAGAAGAGTTCTTATTAAGAGATATGGCCGGGCGCGGTGGCTCAAGCCTGTAATCCCAGCACTTTGGGAGGCCGAGGCGGGTGGATCACAAGGTCGAGAAATCGAGATCAACCTGGTCAACATGGTGAAACCCCGTCTCTACTAAAAATACAAAACATTAGCTGGGCATGGTGGTGGCGCATGCCTGTAATCCCAGCTACTCAGGAGGCTGAGGCAGGAGAATTGCCTGAACCCAGGAGGCGGAGGTTGCGGTGAGCCGAGATCGCGCCATTGCACTCCAGCCTGGGTAACAGGAGCAAAACTCCGTCTCAAAAAAAAAAAAAAAAAAAGAGATATGAAGGGCAGGGCTCGGTGTCTTACGCCTGTCATCTTAGCACTTTGGGAATACGGAGGTGGCTGGATCACCTGAGGTCGGGAGTTTGAGATCAGCCTGGCTAACATAGTGAAACTCCGTCTCTACTAAAAATATAAAAATTAGTAAGCTGTCGTGGTGCGCCACTGTAGTCCCAGCTCTTCATGAGGCTGAGGCATGAGAATCACTTGAACCTGGGGAATGGAGGTTGCAGTGAGCTGAGATAGTGCTACTGCATTCCATCCTGGGCCACAAAGTGAGACTCCATCTCAGAGAAACAAAAGCAAAAAACGAGAAGTGTAGAAGATTGGAGTAGATGTCTGTGAACAATATATAAATAAATAGATACCAAGAACAAGTTAGAACTTACCCAAGTTTGAGAAGTGTACATCTCAGGTGCAGAGAACAGATTAGTAGAGGCATGAATTTGGGGGGGCCTGTGCCTAGGCTGACGTGGCTAAAAAAGGGAGACTACTTGTTCATTATGGAAAGTGAAGGCAGAAAAGTTTGCAGGAATCAGATGAGAATTTTAGCCTAAGGCTCAGTAAGATTTAAGATGACTCCCTGGCTGACTACTACCACACATACCATTTTGTTACCCTTTGCAGCAGAATTTCTTTTTATTTTCTTCTTTTTTTTTTTTTTTTGAGATGGTGTCTCACTCTGTAGCCCAGGCTGGAGTGCAGTGGCATGAACTCAGCTCGCTGCAACCTCCGCCTCCCGGGTCTGGTTCAAGCAATTCTACCTCAGCCTCCCAAGTAGCTGGGATTACAGGCATGAACCACCATGCCCAACTAATTTTTGTATTTTTTAGTAGAGAGGAGGTTTCACCATATTGGCCAGTCTGATCTTGAACTCCTGACTTCATGTTCCACCCGCCTCGGCCTCCCAAAGTGCTGGGATTACAGGCATGAGCCACCTGGCCTGGCCAGAATTTCTTTTAAGGGCTGTTCATTGACATTGTCTCCAGTGAGTTTCTCCTTCCAGTCTCTCTTTTGTTTTCCTTTCTTTTTTTTTTTTTTTAGTCAGAGTCTAGCTCTGTCACCAGGTTGGAGTGGCTGGAGTACTGTGGCGAGATCTTGGCTCACTGCAACCTCCAACCCCCTGGTTCAAGCAATTCTCCTGCCTTAGCCTCCTTTGTATCTGGGATTACAGGCACACGCTAATTTTTTTTTTTTTTTGAGATGGAGTCTTGTTCTGTAACCCAGGCTGGA